GTTGTTGGTAAACTTGTTTGGCACTCAATATCTGTCCAGGATTCCCATGTTGCACCAGTGTCTCTAGGTAGCTGCAAGTACTGACTATGTTTCCATGTTTCATCTCCAGTTCATCAACTTTGATTTCCATATTCTTTACTCTAGCTGTATATTCTGTCTTCAACTCATCCACCAATCTTTCCTTCTTCTGCTTAACTACCTCTATTTGTCTTCTCAGATCTTCCAAGATTTCATCTGTTTTCTTGTTTATCTTTGCTTCTTCTTCTTTACAGCAGGTTTTTAGTTTATCACAGGCTGCCTTGGCTGACATTTTACTTGTCTCAGCTTCATCTGCTTTCACTTTTAACTTCCTGACCTTCCCCTTTAATTCGTCAGAATACTCATCTGCCACCTCTTTAATATATCTGTGTTTGTGTTCAGGAACTCTATGATCTATGATTGTACACTCCATACATATAGGTGTCTGACAGGTATCACAGTAGTACTTCAACTGGTTACCTGTGTGGACATTGCAGTATTGTATCGACTGTACAGCAAATGGCTTCTTGTTCTTTGTCTCTTGATATTCGTCAACCGATAGAACCTGATGAGATTTTGTTGTCTTGGTTTTTTTATGTACTCTAGTACAAGGTGTACAGGAATACTGTTGGCATTCAACACAGATGGAGGTGACTTCATTTTCTTCACAAAATTCACACACTTTAGGGGTACCAGCTACCAGTTTCTCGGGTATCTTGTCTAGAAGTGAGCTCATGAAGAAATTAGACTGCAGATCATTGATAGGTACCTTTACTGACCTGTTACAAGTTGGACACATCAGTGTATCAGCTACTCCTTTCTCAGCTAGTTGTACTAGACACTTCTTACAAAATGTATGTTGACATGGTAGTATCTTTGGGTCTGAATACCGCTCTAGACATATAGCACAACACAGGAAGTCTTCATTAATCTCCGCCAAGACAGCACCAGCATCTACTACATCCGAGGCAGCTGCAGCCATGGTTAGACAATAGTCTGTAATATATAATGTTAAAATAACACAAGTCTAATATTATAAAATCTGAAGTGAAATCATATATCCCATATATTAACTCACTTTTAGTTTGTGTGTCTCTGGTGAAAGCAGGTTATATACTAGTCTTGCAGATTATACACTAGTCTTGTATTTGTGTTCATTGATCAATGAATTTTAAATGCACACATTCCATTTTCATAAAGTTTGGAAATCATAAAATGATGAAAAATGTTTTTTCTGGAATTATATAATGGTCTATATAGATTAGATCCATGGGCATTTAACGATCAAGCCTTAAATTATGCTGGAATGGATAAAATAAATAAAATAATATTTTGTATATCATTTAGTGTTACACCTGGGGTAATGGGGTTGATCAGCTTGTGGGGGGAATACTTGGAAGCAAGTTGAGAATTTGACCAAAATAGTAAAACTGAGTTCCTAAATCCAGAATCGTTTATATGGTGCACAGATACATATACCATCCCCTACTGAGTTTAACTTTAGCATATTTTCACTAGCAATTATGCAATATGTTATAGATAACACATTTTATAAGTGCTTTTTATAAATACTGAGTAGTATTTATAATTAACATTCTAAGGGTATGTTTGTAAATGAAATAATAGATTCTCCAGTTAACTTGTATGACTGGCATAAAATCTAGTACTTGTATGAAATTTACACGCACCAGTAACTAAAATATAAACAGATATGTGACTTTGGATGATTTCACTCATTGTGCCATGGGAATAGGTTGACATAGGATATATTTGCATAAAGCAATTGAAGAACTGATTGACATTAAACTAAGCGTGTAATCAAAGAAAGCTTGGAAATCATTGAAGTATATTTTATTTTGGCAACAGACTTGCCTTTGTCTGTACCAAGTTTCATTGAAATTTGATAAATAGTACTATATCTGTGGAACACCTATGAATTGGTTAATTTATGCAGATAAGATAATTGTTAAGCACATAATCTAACCCTGAACATGTATAAGGCATATGAGTGGATGATATATTTGTGGAAAAGCTAAAAATTGGCTAATTAGGTCATTAATATGCATGTATTTTAATCAAAAACATCAGGTTTATCCAAAAATATATATGTACCAAATTTCATTGTAATATGTTGGTACTTCTTCTTAAAATTGGCTAATTAATATGCAAATTAGGTAATTGATATGCAATAATTTCAATAAAAAAATAATCAAGTCTGAATATTCCAAAGCATCTATGCACATCTATTTCATTAAATTTGATAATCTATTCTGTAGATATCAGTGGAACAGACACACACACACTTCCCCGTGCAGTGTCTGACCTGACCTAGGAAGCTACAGAGAGACGCAACTAGACTCTGCCACAGGTGACATTTTACACCAAAATTGTTGGTATTTCGTGTTTTTTTAAATTTATTTATTTCTTATATCCCAAGCTTCTGTTGAAAAAAATGTGATATTTAAAATAAATATATCAAATATTTTTACATTCAGCGCTAAAACCTTAAAATGTTAAAATAATGAAAAAGTAGATGTGAATTGTTTATTTAATATGAAGTGCATTTGTATTGTTGCCTTGGGGTGATGTGGACGCATCGCCCCAGCCAAGTTTTTAGTTGACTGCTATGTGACGTCACAATTAAGTGACTCAGGGAAGTTTTTACCACCCATGCTTGCAGAGCCAGGGATGTTTGGAAAAAAGATAGCGAACGACAAAATCAAAAAATCAAAAGGTGTTTAGGTAATTTTCGCAAACATAAAATGCAACTGGGCGTGATTTAAAAATAAATTTCATACATTTTAAACGAGATTGCTCACATATGGACCGATACATCTACTTCCTCTGAGAACACTTTCGTTGCCACAGGTCACTAATGCCACATCGCTTGGCGCACCCCCAGGGAGCAACATGAACACACTAATGGCAAAGCAAAATGTAGATCCAGTCATTAATAGTGGGGTTTAAAAAGGCATATACTTTTTATTATTTTGATGACCATAGTTTTATTAAGGAATATAATAGTAAGGCTACCACTGTGTACTTTACTTATTTTACTAGTACCTGGAATAAAGTGTATGGTAAGAAAAAGTGATGGTGTGTTTAGCCTTTAGTGCCTCGCTAATGTTAACATACTGATAAACTATGTTTGAAGATTTGCTATTTTCCTATTGGACCTTGAGCAGAGGTGAGAGAAGGGTATTCAGTAAGTCTGATTTGTGCACTATAGCTATAGCAAGTTTGATAACTGTGGGACCCTGCACAAGGTAATGGGGCAGTGTTGAAGATGACCCCCCCCCCCCCAGCGTACACACAGTAGTAAATTTTTTGTCAAATTTTCTAAGCATACCCTACATGTATTTTCACCCTCAACCTTCAACTTAATTTTTGTTGTCAAATTTCCCAGCCACCCTACAGAACTTACATACAATTTTCACCTTAATTTTCAACTATTTTTTTTCCAG